TGCCGCCCGCGACAGGTGTCTTATCCATGAATGTGGTGCCACGAGAAAAAAAACACGGAACAAGAAGTCAACTGCGAAGTAGTAAACTGCGCACAAGTCAAACCGGAGAAATCTCATCACCGAGGTATTAAAAGCATAACGAGTTGTCAACAGTCAACGATAAGTCAAACGGTCGGCAGGTTAAAAGTAAAAAGGTGTCAAACGGATTAAGTTCAACAGAGCACTAAGTCATCAGAACTTACGGACACAGAGCGATAAATCAAACGGATGAAAATCGCATGATAAAACAAAACAGACTGATGGTCAGAAGGGATACAAGTGGATTGGATAACCGCAAAGCAAGCTGTAAACCAACACGCACCAGTCCGGCCAAATTCCGACTTCCGTAGGGCCTCTAAACACATGTGCAAGTCGTGAGAAGCAGTAAGGTTTAAACTTCGGCTGGGGTACAAGAAGGGGCCTAAAAATGGGGGCAAACATATTCTTGTCATCGCCCTCGGCGGGAGATGCTGGGGATCAAACAAGTCTCGTGGTTGCGAGGAGGGCGCGGAGATCAGGCCCGGAAGGACTGCACTCTGTCGGCAGAGGACTATTTTCACTTATTTCCCGCCTGAACCATCGACGCTTTGGAACCCTTGACTTACGTACCTTTGACGTTAGGCTTAACTAATTTTGTGTCTTTTGCTTATGTCCTTTTGACTCGTACTTCTCTTCCTTTTCCTTTTGTCCTATATTTGCCACCATTCTTCACAAGATTTGCATCGTTTTGGACTTTTTGTCCGTTTTACCTTCGCATTTGACGTGTATTATTTTTTCATCCCCTTAACTTTTTGTATTTCGACACATTACATTTTTGCGGGCACTAATTTGATTTGGATTCCTTATGACTTTTATCCCATAACTTACTGCATTCCACTTTTTTTCGTATGCGCAATGTGTCTTAATCATGTCTGGCCTTTTGGCATTCGGCTTCTGACCTTTCGTCCCGTTACCGGTGGCTACAAGCATCGCGGAATCTGGTCGGGCTCCAGACGGCCTCTGGTTCATCAATCCTGCTGACGGCCCGCCCGCCCTCTAGACGCCGACACGCCACTGCAGCGGCCCACGGCCCGGCAACATGGCAGACTTCCAGCCCGACACGGAAGGAGAGGGGGGGGGGGGGCGATCAGGGCTGTGTGCGGTCAGCCCGGATCGCCCCCTGCTGACGTCACACCGCGAGCCCAGCCCAGCCGGGGTCAGACGGGCAGCGGCCGCGCCTCTCACTGCCGAGCCCCACACTGCCGAGCCCCTCACTGCCGAGCCTAACACTGCCGTGCCCTCCACTGCCGAGCCCCACACTACCGAGCCCCTCACTGCCGAGCCCCACACTACCGAGCCCTCCACTGCCGAACCCCACACTGCCGAGCCCCTCACTGTCGGGCCCCTCACTGCCGAGCCCCTCACTACCGAGCCCCTCAATGCCGAGCTCCTCACTGCCGAGCCCCTCACTGCCGAGCCCCACACTACCAAGCCCCTCACTGCCGAACCCCTCACTACCGAGCCCCACACTACCGAGCCCACACTACCGAGCCCCACACTGCCGAGGAGCCCACACGGCCGAGCCTCTCGCTGCCGAGCCCCACACTACCGAGCCCCACACTGCCGAGCCCCTCACTGCCGAGCCCCTCACTGCCGAGCCTCTCACTGCCGAGCCCCCCACTGCGGAGCCTCTCACTGCCCAGCCCCTCACTGCCGAGCCTCTCACTGCCGAGCCCCACTCTACCGAGCCCCTCATCGCCAAGCCCCCAACTGTCGAGCCCCTTACTGCCGAGCCCCTCCAGACAAGCCGGCCTTTGGGCAAGAGCTTTGCTTAATCGCGTCACGGCGCAATGCTTTCGGCCGTTAGCCAGTAAAACTGTGCAAGTACAAGATACAAACCGTGTCTGGGCTGGCAAGAAATCCCCATAACCAGAATGAAAGGGAGTGTTTCACATTTGCACTGGGTTTTCAACCGAAAACGTTTCTCTCTCAATAGTACTATAGTTATAAGTGAGATCGTTTTCAACTGAATTCGGTGCAGTTCACAGCGCTGCCCTTCTTAAAGCCTAAACCCATTCCGTTTCTGAGCTAATCACCCGCAAAGATGTGCAAGCAATTCGAGCAGACTATTTCCAGGTAACCCAGGCATCCATGACGTCATAATGACGTCATTCGAATTCTGAAATCCCATTGGTCGTGGGGCGATCAAGGCCAAGACAAATATAATTGTTGATCGTTCATCCCTGGAGTTTGTGAGCATGACATCCAGCTATAACAGCCGGCAACTGGCTCTCAATCATGTTTTGCGATCTCCGATGGTGCATTCAAACAGTGGCGTACTGAGCAGCATATTTACTAAATAGATAATTGTGTTATCCAGAGCAGTCTTTTCCACTTAGAAGTATACCAATAGTTATAAAAGAGCTTATTTCATCATACCTGAGGGTTGCTTAAATATCTTCAAATAAAGAGCATTCATTTAACCAAAATAGCGAGAGGCCACATGACATACCAGCTCATTTAGATAACTTCCCTTAAAGTGTGGCTCCAGCCACATGATACAAATGCAACATATGGATGACGCAATTTAGTGGCCCTTTTACACGGACCACGTAATCATCAGTTCCAGAACTACCCAAAACACCTTGAAAGAACAAGCACACGAATGTACAGCCTCGCACTGTTACTGCCCTTTCAAGCCACAAAGGTCATCGGACCAGCTGAAGACTGAGCGGCACAGACCACAGCCTCTTTATGAAACAAAACTTTGCTCATTGCAGGCGTCAGGCCAAGGTTCATCCGGATTACAGCAGTGCATTGGCCGCGCCCGTCCACTCGCGAAGGCGTGCGCAATGGAAAGATGCTGCACGGTGGGACCCAATGCCAATGAAAACGCAAAAGCTGCTTGCCTCGCTCCAATCGCAGCGCTTCAACATGTAACCCCGCTTCGAACAGCTGAGCCTTGCGTGTTGGGCAAAAATTGGGTGGTGGGAGCGTCGCGCGTCATGGCTTTCTCACTAACGGGATAACCATAGACTGTCTGTCATTACTGGAACATTCGTTAGCAAATAACAGCCTGAGCAAATGCACAAGCATCATTTGGACCAACAACGACGTGGTCTTTGAACACGGTGATCGGTTTCCCAACACCACCAGCACACGAACGGATGCCAGAAGCTCGCTGCAGCACTGAAAACGTCATACTTTCGGCGTTTAGTATACTGTTGGGAATGCGAGATCTATTAAGTGTTGCGGCTTTTACTTCCCCACGACTTTGAGTGGTGGGAAGGTAGCGGCTTGTGCATGGGGCTATATCTTATTCTATGCATACACGATTATGATTTTGTTCTGCGCGCGCGCGAATTCATAATGTCTTGGCTATTATCCCTAGCATCCCATCCTTGCCGAGCACACATAACACAATTCCCTTAGCTTTACCTAGGTCCTGACCCCAAACTATCGCTCACACCTCCAGTCCGGCCGACCCGTCTGCCACACCGCCCACATGACACCAGCCAGACCGGCGGCTGCGGCACCACGGGCTTGGAGCGCCTCAATCACTCGTGAATCACAGAGGCCTGACAATCCTGCCGCGTAGCTCACGGACGCCGCCCCGTCAACAGCAGCTCAGTGATGGAGCCGTGCCAAGCGCCAGCCGCCGTTCGGCCGTCGCGCGCCAGGCTTCGGACGCCGGTGACGGACTGCGGCGAAGGGTGAGGCCCCCAGGGCTGAACTACATAGGCATGTCAGCCTGAAACCGTATGCCGACCTTGAACCCAGACGGAAGGCAATGTGACGTGGCTCCACGGCTCCGAACACGGCGGCATTTTCGAGAACTTACGTCAGAAATATCCCAGAAGGGGAGATCACACCAGACCGCAGCAAGGCCACATTATCAATCAGATTCGGGGTTTCTCAAGGCGAATTACATTCAACAGACGTGCCCGCATTATTGCCCGTTAAATGCATTATTTTGGTACGATTTCTTTTGGTGGAGGCCACGGGACACAGCGTCAGGCACCGCCATGACCGCGAGTTATCCAACGCCTATAAAGCGGAATGAACGAGCCACTCCCTGCAGACCCGCTGCTCTATCACAAGTCGCCGGCAGCGCCCCGTCCGACCTACGTAGGCGTCGGGGCTGCAGCTGAAGGCTGTCTGCACTATAACGGCGTCCGATTAGCGGGAACGGCCGGCGGCGCAGATCGCGTCTCGCAGGCAGCCCCGGTCTGCCAGGCCGGCCTCCGCGCACGCCACGCGCCTCCGGGACCGACGCCCGGCGCCGGAGCCGGCCGTAAACACGGCGGAGTTCTGAGGGGAGGGGAGCGTGACCGTCACCGAAGCCGCACAGCGCCCCGGACCAGCCGGCAGACAGCGGCAGCCCAGACCAGGCGGCAGGCAACGGCGAGCGGCAGGCTACCGCGGTGGAGCCGGACACGAGCGGGTTGCCGCTGCTCTGTTCGCAGGCCCCGCAAGTTGAAACAAGGATGGTCGGCCCCGTGACGTCACGGCAATCGCCTTGAAAACGGACGGGCACTCCTTCCAGACGTTATCTTGAGGGCCACGAACAAGCACTGGTGGTGTAACCTCTCACGTATTATTGCGTTTATAAGCTCCGACTCACTCATAACAATATTCATCTTGGATAAATATGGGGAGTGTGCCTGCATGATCTATGGACATCTCGGTATCGGAGATTGGTCCCTCAGTGGAGATATAGTTCATCTGGTATGGTGCACATTGGTTCATATGACATGGAGGAATATATGGATCATCAGTTCTCTAGACGAGCAATACTCTAAGATGGTACGTGCTTGTGCAATGTAAGGCATGTAAGTATGTATGAAACCTGACCGAAAATTCATCAAAAATGCAACTTACTTAGAGTGTCACACAGTACTTTGTAGGGGTATGTGCAATGGGACATAGGGGCTTGTGCGATCAAGGCATGGTAAGTATGTATGAAACTTGACCGAAAATTCATCAAACATACAACTTACTTAATGAGTGTCACGCAATATTTTGTATGGGCATGCCCTGATGCTACTTCGGTCGCAACATTCCCTCCTTTAAACACAGGGCCAATGTGGAGACATGAAGGACATTAACAAACATACTATTGTCCGCGCAGTTTCGTAACGAATAAACAATCCCATGGCGCTTTCACCTCACTCACGCTCCCCGACTCGCGCAATCCGCCGGAAGAACGTTCGCCAGTTACGGCGAAGAAACCCATCACAGCTGACATCAGCACGCACGTATCGGAGCGCAGAGCACTCAGCGCAGCTGATAACGCTTCAGGACTTCCCTGTACACCGCCGCGTCTTTCTGAATCAGCCCTGCCGCCGTGCAGGTGATTCCGAGCTCCCGCTACGTGGCGGGGCGGATTAGGTTGCATCATGGCCCCACCTCCGCGGGTCAGGTTGCATCAGTGCCCCATCGACGGCACCGTAGCGGGCCGCCGTGCCGCGCCGACCCGCTACGTCGTGCACGAGAGGCGGTACCGGGCCGCGTCGCCCGGCCCGCCACGCCGTGCGCGACGGGCGGTACCAGGCCGCGTCGCCCGGGCCCGCCGTGCCCTGCGCGAGGGGCGGTACCGGGCCGCGTCGTCCGTGACGGTGACGGCCGGTGAACTGTGGACCGCTAACGGGGCCACAGGGTACGCCGGCAGGCTGAGCAGTGGCACAGTAGGGCGTTGCGTCAGCAGGCGTCGGCGCGATGGAAGCGCGCGGCGAGTGAGACCGGCGGCGCTGCGCGCGCCCTGCGGTGGCAAACGCACGTGGCGCTTCCCAGACAGCCCAGCTGCCCTACGCATTCATCTAGATAGCCACACGCCCGAGGGTGGGGAGAGGGGGAGGGATTCAGAGGTCGCTGTGCTTCAACTGGAGAGGGGGTTGAGTCTGGGAAACTCGAGTCCCTTTGGGGTCTCGGTGTTAAATAACGGTCTCATGGTACGCTCGCAGTACGTTTAAACTCCGGTTGGCTTCGGTTGCAAACAAGATTATTTCGCTCCCTTTCAACACTTCAAAACATATTCCGGGTCCCAAATAGCGTTCTGGTGCACCGAGCGGCCGACAGACGCGGAAAACTAACTTTATTCGCAGCCACGCAGAGATGGTCACCTCTTTCAAGAGCCAGCCGCAGGGGTGGCCCCTTCTCCACGAGACAAGCGCAGAAACTACCACCATTCGCAGATACCAGCAGCAAGGATATCTCCCTTCCCCTTCTCGGGGGGGGGGGGGGGGTGTGGCACGTATGCTTTAGCCGGCGGCGAAAGCCGGCGCAACGCGCGCCGGGCGTGCGGGACCGCCGCCTCACCTTTTCCAGGAGCCGCGCCGTCCGTCGTCGGTGCGCCCGCTGCCCAGCCAGAAGGCCATGGAGCACACCTCCAGCCCGGTGGAGATGACCAGTCGGTGACCGCGCAGCTGCCGGCCGGCCGCGTCCCGGTCATTGTCCTGCGCCCTGCAGCACAGCCGCGCCGTCAGGGACCACCCCGCCAGCGCGTGTCCTCGCCGGTGGCGGCCCGGAACGCCGGTCGCGTTGGCTGGCGGTCATTGGCAGAGGCACGGGGCTCGGTGGCACAGAGCGCCAGACACGTCGCGCTCAGACCGGACACGCCGCAGCGCAGCCCCCACTGCAGCGGCGCGGTCACATTATGCAAACACGGCGTAACGCAACGATGCCCAGCGTGTGCAAACCCGTGCCTGCTTCGTGTATGAAGCATTTCCATACGTATGCATCATTCGAAGGGATTCGTGTACTTCCTTTCTAAAGTTAGATCCTGCATGGAAGCGTGCTGTTTAAGGATCATGCCCGATGGTCATAAAACATTCAAACCAGATTTTTCCGACATCGGGTTTTTCAAACACTTGCTTGTCAAGATCACAAGAAGTTAGGGAAACCTCCATTTCATCCTCTGCGTGCTCCTCTCTGAGTGGTCTCTCGCACCTCTTGGTGCCAGGCCGTCCGGTCGAGCCGGGTACACCTGCTTTTCCGGTTTTTATTCCGCCCTCCCCTGACCAGCTCTCGTCCCAGACCAGCCCCGCCGATACCCCACCATCGCCGGCGAGCCTTGGCGGTCCGTCTCCCCGCCGCCCTGCGCCGCCGCCCCGCTGGCGGGCTGGTGACGTCACACACACACCCCTCCCCTCGCGGCCCGGGGCGCCGCCGCCATTGCATCAGTGCGCCAGCACCGACCGCCTCCGAGTACCGCTGGCCGACCGCGCCCGGCCAGCCCGTCTGCTCGGCCGGAGGTAGGGAGGCCGCGGGGACGGCGCCACATCATCCGCGAGCGGCCTAACATTTTCCATGAGCTCTCCGTCGGATGAGGGGCCTCAAAGGGCAACTCTCCTTGTACGTGACGACCCATCACGCTCAACATGCCAAGATTATATACTTCTGCGTCGCAAGTCAACGTGTATCCCTTTTGGGGGTGTGGGGCGGCGCTGTACTGTCTAAGCGCATGTCTTCACCAATTTCAATACATACGTAGCTGGTACACCCCACTGTCGTGCTTACTGGTCTATGACCCTCTTTAACTGGAAACGCACTTAGTTAGTTGCATCAAAGTATGAACCTAGCGCGCTATGGAAATAAACCGTCGCTGGGCGCCATGGCCGCACTATTGGCCATATCTATGCTGGCCATATCTATCATACTTTATATGACACGTTTTCGAGAGGTTTTCGAGACGCCTGCCAAAATTCTGAGGTGGTCAAAAGGACGTGTTCGCCTACGCAGTCCGAAGGCATGACGGACAGCTTCCCGGTGGTGCCGTCCTGAGAGGCCGCTGCAGAAGGGACAGCAGCACCCGCACGGGTATCAGCTGGCGGACCGGGTACACACCCCCAAACCGGGTACACACCCCCTGACTACCTGCGGCGGCATCCCCGATCGGCAGTGGGATATTGAGATCAATACGCCAAAGATATCATGTCGCTGCCCCAGCAAAAACATGTCTGGTGGTCGGCGCCTACCAAGCGCATTGAGCGACTTCAGGCAGATCGGTTTATGACATCGGCGGTGAAGATATTTCCCGTCATCTTCACGCGTGCGAGGTACACATTCTGTGTACAGACTGCAGCCAGGCTATAAACGAGCAGGCCGATCCTGTCACACCCATATTTAGAGTATGTTCTCCACCCTGGTCTACACACGTGTTCTGGTGAAGTTATGTATACCATATCAAACCTTGCACTGCAGCGTTTGTCTGACGCAAAACAGGGCGTAGGGCGAGCCTCAGGTTCTGTAAGACAGACATTCCATTTTTTACGTACCGCCAGCAACACGACTGTGACTATGTGGGGGGCGGTGGGGGGGGGTGGGTGGGGGGTGAGGGGGGGGTGCTGAAGCCCACCAAATTGAAAGAAAACTACACTGATGGGTGATATGCTCTAGGATATATTATTTTAAACGTGGCATGACAGGCATGGCGACGATTTCAGCTATGAAGTTTCATACATTTTTGACGATGATCCAGCTTTTTTACTACATTTTTTAGCATAATGGATCAGCTCCGGTTATTTTCAGTTTTACTTAAACGCGCAGTGCGCTTTAATCAAGGCAATATTGCAACTGTCGAACTTAATGGCCTTATGGTTACCTTAGAGGTAAACGATTATCCCGCGTAAGCCTAAGCACATGATATGAACACTGACAGGAAAGAAACCGGGGAAGCGGTTGGCAAACACCCAGAAATAAATTCGAATTTCCGAGTCATGACGCAACCATTTTCCCATCCTTTACACGCCCACGCAGGGGCACCGGCAGCCCCTCCCTTCCCCCAACCCAGCTTGTGGGCCCGTAGCCATTCCAGTTGTTTTTTCTAGTCGACACCCATAGGGATAATGACATTTTACAAAAGCTGAGGGGTTCAGCCCGTGTCCATCCATCCCCCACCCCGTTTCCACGCCTCTACTTGCGCGGCGTAAGACATGGCGAGAGACCCTCAGCAATCCACTGAGTGAGGTGCAGGAGTCACCCAGAGGTGCGAATAGTGACGGGAGGCACCTGGCGGCGCATAAAAGACAAATCGTGGGCACGGCAAGACCCACGTCCTGAAGGACTGCATTACGCAAATAACAGCTGAGATTCCACTCAGCTACAGCCAGACATAAACACCATCTCTGTGACGACGGCCATGTACAGCGCGTGTCCCCAGCACATCAAATCAGCTGGGTCTGTTGACGTCCTCGGCCAGTTTTTGGCATTCGCGACTCGGCGGTGTCGCCCACTGCGTCGGCCGGACACGCCAGGTGGCGGATGATGGCGCGGCATCCCGTGGTCGCTGCCAAATACCGTACCGCCCCCCCCCCCCCTCTCCCTAAGCTTGGCGGTCCCACAGCGCCACGAGTTTGCTGCGGAGGGGTGGCGGCCGACCACAAGACGCAGCGGCGCAGTCATCGCGTCATCGGTGATGGCTCCATCGGAGTGTCAATCGTAAGACAAAAAATACAAACCAAGCGGATTATTCCAAATTTCCTTGGGAATTCCGTACCGATTGCAAGGGTCGTTAACTGTACCTAAACAGAGATTTCGATCATTCTTGACTAATGTACGCCACCCCGGACCCTCAGCTTCCCTCCCTTGCATTTTATTCCCACAAAACGTTCTACGCGGTGAACCGCTTCAACAGACCCGTCGACGACAAAGCCAGTCGGCTTCAGCGCCGGTTCTGGCGCGGGAGGCGCGGCGGCGCCACTCACAGGCAGTTCCTGTCGCTGTTCCAGGGCAGGATGACGACCTTGCGGTCGCCGCAGGACCAGGCGACGCGGCTGTCGTCGGGTGCGAACACGCACGGCACGGCCGCCGCGTCATGCTTGTCGCCGAGCTCAGCCGACGGCCGCAGCTCCCCCACCTTTACAGACGCGCCTGCCAACGGGAGAGGAAGTCAGTGAAGGGAATACAACTCAGGGGCCTTGTTCCGCAAAGTGCGTTGGGGAGGGGGGCTGAGCAGGCAATACCGGGTAAACCAGCCCCAGCCTAAATACACAAAAACGGACTTATCGCCGATTGTTACTCGCCAGCTTACAGCATCCGGTCCGGTCAAAATCCGCGGGATTTTGCCTAGTTATCAGTCTGGCTGCGCAGGCTTTTGCATTTTAAAATCGGAACAAGTGGATCTGTAGATGCAGTGGTGCAGTTTTGCAAGAAAATCATGAGGGAGAGGAGCTGAACAGCCAAAAATAACGAATAAATACCGCTAAAATACAAAATAAACTGGTTTATTCCTGGCATTCCCCAACATTCTTCTCAAAGTTGGTTGGGACAGCAGCCTCCACCCCGGTTGAAAGAAGAATGATGAAAAATGCCCGTATGTAGACCGGTACATTTTAAACTTACGCTTGAACATAAAATCTTGCAAAAATCAAAACCTTACAGCCGGGTAATATCCCGTGTTAATTTTGCATTGGCTTGCTTCACAAGAACCAAAAGAGGCAGATAGCCCCCGGCCAACACAGCACATCAGCTAAACAAAATTATCAGTGAGGTCACGCAAACATTTTACAGAAAAAATAACGCACATTCATTCCTATCTCACCGACGTTTGCTCTAATTCTAACTGAAGTTCCACTGATTTTACTAAGGAAAAGGTAGTCAAGTCGCTTACAACTCCATGTCAAAGCAGCAGCGCATGGCGCTTTGTGTGGTCACTAGGGTGACGCTCAATATGATTTCGCTCTTTAAATCACAAGACACAATTCTGAAAGGTTATGCATGAGCAACGAAATCACTAGTTAACAGTGAAACCTTTATTATCACGGTTTGATTAACCTATTATTACATCCTGGCAAATGATGGTGTCATATACCCATAACCATCGAAATCCCATCAGGAACAACACGAAAAGTACGTGTATTTGCGCCAACATTTGCGCATACAAACGCGAGAATAAAAAATTATACGTATGACAAATTTCAATACATTGCTTTTTTATCTACATTCAATATATAGCACAGTAGTGCGTTGTAGCGTTTAGTCAACTTAACGTATAGCTCAGCAAAACATTTTTGTATTATCCATCTCTGTCATGTTATTTGATGCCCGTGTTTAGATCACGCCCCCATGACCTCCATGCAATTGCTAGGATTCTTCTACATGCGCAATTTCCGTGTCAGGGCTTCATATTCTACCAAACAGTTGGCATCCGGCGACTGGAGGCAGCGCGGCACAGAGGCGGCCATTGTGAATGCATTTCGGGTCAAAGCGGGTGTTGCCCAGTGTTTTCGCGAGAAAGTGTTCAGGTCATCAATGCAAGTTACACAGGGGGCATGTATCTGCTATCAAAAAACACATCTTTGTATGATATATGGAACTCATAAAAAACCCTGGGCCGGCACGGGCTATAACGTACGACTTCCTAATTATGAGCCTGGCACGCCACCAACTGCGCCACTGAGAGTGTGGGACCGAGCGGTGGGGCTCGGGAGTCGGAAAATTAACGGCGAACTGTGCCAAAAAACCTTCAGCCAGCACGAACCGGGAGTTTGGCTGCACAACCGCAACAAAAACGGTTATACAGTTTTTCTTCTGGTGCTAGATTCACGAAATTGGCAAGGTAAAATGTCGTGTACAAGATCTCCCTAAGGCCTACTCTTTAACACGTGAGCATTATTTGCGCTAGCAGGGAAGTGGGCCGTGACGTGGTTGCGTTGGTAACGCCCTTCGGTGCGGTTCAGTCCTTGGCCTTCGGTGCAGAGCATGGCCTTCGTTCCATGGCCTGGTGCGAATGCCGAGCTGGCATCTCACTTAATTTAGCTGCACGCCAGCATCTGCCGTGTGCAGTCACAGCGACACGGGCGTAAATTCCCTGCGATTCGGCTCGAAGCACGCTTGGATGAGTTCCAGAAGAGCACTAATGCCGTGCAAAAGCAAGTAAATAATTAATTAAATCGCTCAGCCGAAGCTGGTTCGCGCCAAGGCCGCCCATCAACCCGAGCCTGGAAGCTGTCGTCGATGTTATGTCACCACATGGCTCAAAGCAACGGTACGGTAGACCATAAAATGCATGAAAGCCGCAGCGGATGACGACACGCGGAGATACTTTCCTGATTTCATTCAGAACCCGTGCTTGAATCAGCATTTCAATGGGTCCATCTCGCACCAGTGGTGCACAATATTGCAAATATTTCCGCTAAAATTACTGAAACAGACATTTGCTCAACATGACCTTTGTACTCGTCTGGCGCTTCTGATCCCGCCAACTTTGACCTAAGCCCGCCAGGAAACTGGGGCCTTGAGAGGACCTCCACAGACTAAAACGGAACAAAACATGCCAATGTCCATTACTTTGCTTTCAAACTATAGTTTTGCGATGGTTTTTCTCAGGTTGAGTTTAAGCTATCATTAGTATTTTAATCTTATTATTGCATTAGACAGTTTGTGATCCCGAATAAAATACGGTATTATTAAGTCTAGATAAGAATGTCACTCCGGGCCAGGGTTTTTAAAGCTACGCTGCCGTCCGGGACAGACTCTTAGAATCTCCAACAGTGGCAGCCCAAATTCTCTCACAAGTGGGCATGAACACACCGAGAGATAGAGTTAAAATGATGGTAAAATTGTAATTGATATTGAATAATATGCGCTAAGCTCGTGCCAACTCCAGACCCAGACGCCTCAGCACACGTAATGAGCAAAATCTCCTTTCGATGTCGTAAACGACGCTTAGCTAAAACGAAATCCGAACAACATTCTCACAAAATCATTCTCAGCGCACGCTTGCACGCACAACACGCGCTGTCTGGCGGCGCCGCACGCAGCGGAGCAGGGCCGTGACGCCATAGGCATGGCCCTGTGACGTCAGAGATCACTAACGCACACGCGTCACGCGCTGGGTGCGTTGACCCCTGCGTACGCGGAACACACCGCCATTGTCTGCACGTACAAAGAGCGTCGATACGAGGGCGTGTGACAGGCAGGGCGGAGTGGATGGTAGTTGGAGACGAGGAGAAGAAAGGTTTTCAGAGTACGCCAGTAGCCCTGGTGCAAGGTCATCATACGGCAACACGCCGTACACTGCGCTGCCACCATTGCGCTGCGAACAGGGACTCAAAACGGTGCTGCCCGCCCGGGACCGACGAGGAGGCGGGCCCCAGCTACGGGACTGCTGGACACAAGCCACGGGACTGCTGGACACAAGCCACGGGACTGCTGGACACAAGACACGGGACTGCTGGACACAAGCCACGGGACTGCTGGACACAAGCACGGGACTGCTGGACACCAGACGGCACCAGTTACGGGACTGCTGGACACAAGCCACGGGACTGCTGGACACAAGACGGACGCCAGCTACGGGACTGCTGGACACAAGACGGGCACCAGCTACGGAACTGCTGGACACAAGCCACGGGACTGCTGGACACAAGACGGGCACCAGCTACGGGACTGCTGGACACAAGACGGGCACCAGCTACGGAACTGCTGGACACAAGCCACGGGACTGCTGGACACAAGACGGGCACCAGCCACGGGACTGCTGGGCACAAGCCACGGGACTGCTGGACACAAGACGGACGCCAGCTACGGGACTGCTGGACACAAGCCACGGGACTGCTGGACACAAGACGGACGCCAGCTACGGGACTGCTGGACACAAGACGGGCACCAGCTACGGGACTGCTGGACACAAGCCACGGGACTGCTGGACACAAGACGGACGCCAGCTACGGGACTGCTGGACACAAGCCACGGGACTGCTGGACACAAGACGGTCACCAGCCACGGGACTGCTGGACACAAGACGGACACCAGCCATGGGAATGTTGGACGCAAGACAGGCACCAGTCACGGGACTGCTGGACACAAGCCACGGGCACCAGTCACGGGAGTGTTAGACGTAAGATCAAAACAGACGATGTACCAACACTTTTTTCCTGCCCAGAGCCACCAGCCTGCCAGCAGTGGCCACCTTTGTCCACCGTGACACACAGCATCTTACGCTGATGCCGGGATTAATAACCGTAATCTTGAAGGCCGCGGTAACCCCAGCTAAGAATTGTGAGAACCACTTCACAAAACAAAAAATCAGGCGTAGCCAAAGGGGGTAAGTAAAACATCATCAATGCTATCATGACGGCATGTGACGATATTCGATACTTGAAAGCAGCCAGTTTCAAGGACAACAACATTGGGCCCGATACTGGGTTTGTTCAGACGGAAGCATTTTTTCCCGCGGCCAATGCACGTGCATAGCTCCAGGCTCTAACGGCACGTCTGCCGGCGGCATACTCGAGCTGAAGGCGTCTTGTTTGCCTTCTGGCAGTTATCGTTGCTGAATGCAGGATATGTCTTCTTCTCCAGTCTCCTGTCTGGTCACGCTGATCATTCTTTTGAAGAGAGGCCCGAGGAGGTTTGGTTGCATGTCTGGATACTAAGCACGTACTTTACTTTTGCCATATTTGAATAACTGTCACATATGACTGATGAGTGGCGGTTTATCACTTGCAGTTAAGGCCCTATCTTGCAGCTTTCCCGCTTACCTAAATCCCTCAGACGATTCAGGATAACATTTGGGCCTCCGATGCGTCCTACAATGCGACGAGCAAGCTGTCTCGGTGCCCCCTGAGCACCTCTCAGCTTGAATTGTGCCTAAAAATTTTGCTCATCACGTCACTTGCCCTTGACGCGCATCCGACTCGCGAAAAAGCCCGTGTAAACAGACCATAAGACTGGACGACTTGGGAGAGCACAGTACGAGTGCCACAAACTATGGCGGGCTGTTCATCACCGACGTCCGCCCACGGGATACTCACCGCATACAACGTGTTTAGGTCCTGCTCGTCAGGCTACCGAAAGGCTAGTCGGAATGAGCAGTAGCGCTGGTGGGGAAGGTGGGCCGGATCCCAGGACACAGCCAGTTGGAGGCGAAGAGGCGGCGACGGTATGCATACACAAATAAGGGATATCTTGCTACCACCAAGGGCGGCACTCGGGTTATCTACAAACGCACGAGGAATCATTTCTCCGAGCCTGAATAACGTTTGATGGATGCTTGTAACAAGTTGAAATTTTTACCCTACTCCTTTCTTTCTCCGTTTCTTATCTATCTCACGACTTCCTTTAGGAAACAGAAGTGTAATCAAAAGGTCTTGAGTTTTTACAAGATTTCCAGCATCGTCTTGGAAGTCCGCCTGTCCAATGTATCGAACAAGACCTTCTCACCCAGTGGTCAAGCCAAGGGGGATTTGGGGTCCCTGCCTCCATTCCGCCCTACCCACCTCAACCCCTGGAGGCGTCGAGATACTCTGAGATCCCTTAAGTCGCCTTAATATAAGAACGAGCCCTCGATGCATCACAAGATCCCGAGCCTAACAAGGTCTCATGCACCCAAATGCGGTCTATAAGCGGCGATGAGGGCCCCTGGCTGGGAAGGCCGTCTCCTGGACCAAAAATGGGCTACCCCACTGCTTTTGCCGGGCTGAAGTAGACCCCTTGCGTAAACAATGGGCCAAATCGATGATAGAAATATAGTTGGGACTCCTAAGCATGAGCGGGGGAGGTCCGAGGTTGCGGAGGTGCGGGGCACCCTGACATGTTCACCCCCTCCCCCCCTTGGCCAAGTCCTGGCAGCGTGCCTGGTCCAAATGGTTAGCAGAGGGCTGGAGACTGCTGGAAGCGGCCCACCGGACGGCACAATGGAGACTCATGGAGAGGCGCCACGGACAAGGTGGCACTGTGAAACTGGGATGGCGTGGCCAAAACAGCGAATAAAGTCATGTTCTCGCGGTCAGACTGCAAAACATACGTGTGACGCCGGACAACTCCGGTGACCGGCTCGGCAAACTGTAGGTAGAATTTCAGCGCGCGCACGCTACAGGTCCGAACGCCATAATTCCCCGAGCTTTGAGCGCCACCAATGTCAACGCTTTGAGAGCCAATGCTTCAGGGAATCATGATGATGATGAGCCATGACTCACAGGCGGCTCACCACAGCTGCCCCGCATGAACTGCGACCACGCGAAGGGAAATACAGCCCGGTCCGCGTGAAGGCTGCGGCACAAGAGGACGATTGTCGCCTCGATCCTCAGCCCCGCGGATCTCAGCCGCACGCACACGCACGCGGCCGTGACCCACTTTAACACGCAGTCCAATGTTTCGCAGATGGCAGTCAAAGATACCAGATGGCGGCACCGCAAACAGCTCTCTATATGAGTGGCAGGTTTTAAGAAAAACTGATTACGAAATGGGGCGGGAAACTCCAATTCTACCTTTTTTTGCAACAGCATGTACGTAGGGTTAATGCCAAAATCAGTTTCTAAGGCCTGGGAGAAACACTGCATCTACAATGGGTCAGACTTCCCATGGAGCCCAGGTGGAACGGGCCCCTCCCTCGCCATGTTTCCACGCTTCTGGATCCAAACATGGACCCTATTTGATCTGTGTAGAAAGCACAGGACTGCACATACAACCCTGCCCTTTTTGGGAGGCTAACAACGTTCCTACCGTGCTGCAGCCCAGTCTCTTACCCTTCAAGCAGGCACACATATATTCAGCAGATATTATATATATTTGATACCGAGCCAGTATGCAGCACACATTCCTTCAGGGACCACGAACGTTGTGCACAATGCCGCCACGACTGTGTAAAAAATATTTGTTCTCGACTTACACAGAACATTTTCAGAAACTTACTTTCGTGAAGGGCACCCGACACGCTCGTTACCATCTTCTCTCGAGGAGACACCTCAGCAATCCGATGCTCACTATGCAGCCCAAGCGCACTTCCCCCTGGCCGCACACACGCGCTGGGCCTCTCTCGCCACTGACGCAGCGACCACGGTTCCATGCCCGCCCGAGAGCGTATCGACCTACTACCGACGCGACATCTGTGTGCCGCCATACAAACTATCCTGGCACCCGTCCCACGCCGCTCCAAGGTCACCGGGCGACCAATGAGCGGCCGCTTCTCGCCCACACCCCTGGCGAGCCCCCTCGTTGGGGCGGAGCCGCGGACGACGGCTTGAGGCGCCCGGAGCTGGCACGTGTGGCATTGCCGAACGGGTTGCAACATCTGATTGGTGACTCTTTGTGCGCCCAGTCGGCACGGGTATCTGATGCAACACCCGGCGTTGCACGAGCGAATTAAGCGAAGACGTACGCCGGTTATTCAGAAGCGAGGATTATTCGCGAGCGGCGTGAAACGGGACATTGTTCACCGCTGCACATCTTACTCGCTGTCAGGCTGGACGAGGGCGTCGATTTGTACAGCTGGCGGGGTCGAGCTGAAGGCCTGACAGGCTAACCTCAGAACAAAACGTATTAATTGGAAAATAATTTAAAAACAAAATAAACAAATTGATTTGACACTCAAGGGCCTGGCTCATCCGATTGGATTTACCCGGCATTTCAGGCTCTCATTCTGCGCGGTATATATGTTAATAAATGTCATGATTGGATCCTAACCTTCCTCTGTTTTCGTCACAATCTGGTTTCCTTCCTCTTTCTGAGGATGTGTCCGCTGCATTCGGGCTCGGCGTATGTGAACTCCACACTTGACAGTTGTTCTCGCGTGGTTGGCATTCACTGAGCGCCCCGAAAGCAGAGCGTTTTGCATGCAAAGCAAATGCAAAATGCTGCTTCTGATTTGAAGATAGAAATGAAATGGTGAAAAATTGTTCGCTCTGTTGGGAAAAAATTGTTCCCTTTTCGAAGACGCCTCGTTTGCGTGTTACGCCCAGATTTTCAACAACAAAAGATCATAATATTCGCAATATAGCAGATGTTGTCTGCTAGCGAATTTTTGATTATACTGCTTACCATAGTTGTCTTCAGAATGCTGGGAGCCATGAAACCCACCCAAATAAACTGTGCAATGCTTTAGCTATAGCCAGGAGACAATGCTTGCCCCGAGGCGGCGCGGGTAAAGATGTGATATTACAGAGAAAATTTGCGCTTCTGGTCACTTTGAAATATCCGCAGGAGCAGGTTCAGGAATGACGACATCATGCGTTTTTTTTTGTTTACCGTCGCCGATAGAACTATTGTTCGAACAACACTGAGGCTTTCACACGTTGGTAGATGAAACATTTTTGTATGACATGGCCTTGGACTAGGGGACTTTAAAGTGTTTGGTAATGGTCACACATACGGAATGTGTAACAGGCTAAGTCGGGCACGTATTCTGAAAAAAACTGCGCGCATAGGTACGGTTACAGGTCAGACGATTGTGAAATGTCCGGTGTATACTCCCAAAATACTGCACAGCGCCACCGCTTGCACTTTTAAAGTCAAAGTCCACACCGTTTCCACTACTTTTACAATTATTAACGCAAGAAAGCAAGTTTCGATGGAAATTTCCCTGAAACTATTTTATAGGTTAGAATTAAAGTGCCGGAAAAATCCAAATGGTGGGGTAACGGGCCGGTACAACTGATCTGAGAATGGAGAGCGGGCGGTTATCGGCACTATTTCCATGGTTAGTCGTTGGATCACGTGGAGAAAATTTTACCCTTAAGCCTCTGCATTGACCCCAAGTTTGTATCTCTGGATTAAGAAATGTCGCCACGGGTGTCGATTTGCATTATTTTGTACTTGTATTCATTTTCATTGGCCTTGATTGCCGCATGGCTAATGGCGTCTTCGCCACGGGGCGTGGTGTAGGGCCGCGGTGGTCGGCTGGCAGCTAGTGGGTTTGTTACCGCGCGGCGCCAGCTGGGCACACGTGTATCGTTTTTAATTGGTATCGATGTGCGCTTTTCTCGACGGCCTTCGCTCTGGGAGTGTGTTGTGCTGCGTACAGCTGTGGGCTGTGTCGCTTGTCTTGCATGCTGTTGGAATGGTTTCACTTTGGGGTATGCGTGCGTGAATGAAATGTCCTTCTGTGGTTCTCTCTAAATAAGTAGCGCTTCTTGAAAGGATCTAGACTTTTGATTAAAATATGCTTTCATACGTCAGAATTGAAGTGAGTGTACATTTGAAGATACTGAAGTAAGCATCTGGATGCACTGAAGAATTACATCAGATATGATGAAACATGCTCGCTCAGAACCGTTCGTATATTTCAAGTGGAAAAGACTGCTCTTTACAAGTCAGTTTCTCCTTTTAGTAACTATGCTCCTCAATACGTCATTGGGTGAGTCACCATACCATGCACAACATTGACTAAAAGCTAATTGACGGCCGTTTTATCTGGAAATCGCTGTCACGAATGCCGAATATGAACGCCCCGGAAATTTCATTCTTCTCGGCCTTAATCGTCGCATAACTTATGGAATGAAAGGATTTGAACGACGTTTTGATGACGTCATGAATGCCAGGGTGATCTTAAAATAGTCTTCCCGAAATGGTCCCCATTTTCGCGATCGTGTAGCCCAGCAACTAAACGGTCTTAGGTCTTAAGAATGGCAGGGTTGCATCGAAAGGTATTTAAGATGGATATTTAACCTTAAACCTCCATAGAAGTGGGGAACATTCCCTTCAGAGCACTCCGTTAAGACAAAAAGATATGCAGGCATGAAGCTTTTATCCCGCGAACTCAACGAAACGTCAGGCTATGGCTCTAACTACTCCCCTGTGGTGTTTAACCACATTGGCTCTTTTCAAGGTCCGCTTTGGCCTTTGGAATGGAGGTATCGCATGGTTCGTAGTGACGCACTGGTTCAAACTTTAACCAATGCGCTTCTCGGTAACAGGCCCTTGCCGCTCGCTGGGCTAATCATAAGCGTCCACCAATAGAGATACCACGGCGGTTGTCATGACGACGGCGATCGAGATAACTGCAGGGAAGAAGCGCAATGTTGTTGCAAGGCGTTGACAGCGTAATTGGGACCCGAAAATAATGAATATTTATGCCATTTTTATATCCTGACGAAGCTGCAATGGCACTACCCGGCGCTCGACGGTGCTACAGTGGCACTTCCCGGCGCTTGACGGTGCTACAGTGGCACTACCCGGCGCTTTTATTCCCGACACAACTGGTCCTGAGGTTTCCCTAGTGCAGTTTTTGAAATATGCTCCAAAGGTGGGACACTCACTTAAAAAAACGGAACTGGGCCGTGTCCGTACGAGCTGGGAGGGATATTGAAAAAGCCGCACAGGATGTTCCGCACTCAGCATCATGGTGCTAGTAGGATGCAGAACCCATCATTTTCTCACCAGATGTACGTGGACGTAGAAATTTCGCAGGAGCTAACTAATCCATTTGCCATAAAAAAGAGCTCGATAATAAGTCCAAAAGGACTCCAGCTGAATTGACTACCCTTGCAAGCATTATACACTAATTATTGACACATATAACTTTGCATGGCATCAAAACAGTAAATGATTGCTCTCTAACTCATTGCTCACTTCATGGTTGCAGTCTCCGCATTCCGTGAAAAACTACGGCTATAGGTATGGGTACGGACACCGGTACGGGTACGGGTACGGCCAAGGGTGCGGATGGGAAGACAGGTAGGAGTGCGGGTGTCAGAACGAGTGTGATTTAGACGTTTACGAAATTTCGGGTAGATACTTCAAGAAAGACTACACAATGTTACAGCCTGCGCATATGTTAACCAAAATTACCTTCATTCAAGTTACTTCTGCAATCATCATCGCAAAACAGTGAGTTTCCAAGAGAAAACT